GAAATTATGTTTCAAATTTTTCAGTGCCTCCACAAACTAATGAACATGTTACTTTGTAAGAGTGTTATGAGGCTAAATGAATTGTTTGCACAACATTGATCTTGGAAGAGGATATAGGTCAGAAACTGAGGGAGTTATGTACTACAGCCTTATAACCTCATACTTAGTCCCTGCCAGAGTTCCACTCTTGTCTAACACAGGAATTTTTTATGCATTTTCAGGGCAACACCAGCACCACTTTTACATGGAAACCTGTTGATTTTAATTGTTAGATCTCTGCGTCCTGTATCTCCCTTCTTCCTTCTTCCTTTCTGGTCACAGTCTCACACTAGAGATGACTCTCCAGTACTATTTGAATAGCTGATGTTTAAACTGTCTTTTATGTCGATCCTCAGCTTAAATGAACCTGAAGATAAGAAGAGAGGACCACTGAGGCTTTTACCATCTGTATTTATCCCCCTATCTCTCTATCATCTCCATCTCTATCATCTCCACCAACAATTCTCTGACAAAACCACAAATCTTCTTTCCTTAGTTTGCTAGTTTGTTAAATTGGTCTAAGAAAACCACCAGCATGCAGATATGATGTGAATAATGTCTCTTAAGTGCTTTGGGACCCTCAGCTCTGGATGCCAGTGATGACTGCTCTGATCACTTGCTCTGCTGGTCTAATCCTATAGATATGTGACTTTTATCAACTTTCTCCAGTGAAATCTCTTAAATTTTATTTCTCTTTCTGCATCATATCTCACTTCTCTCTTCTCTGCCACATTGGCTTCCAGTTCTGTAATCATCACCCTAACCCCAATTTATTTTTCCTAACATCTCCTCTGCTGGTGCATCTGTTTATTAACACCTCTGCTCTGCCCGCAAACACAGCTCCATCAGCTCCATCTCTTTTACATCTAATTGCAGCAGCTCCTTCTGAGCTGGCCTGCCCAGGATGAAGATTCCTAGATACCAGTTTTGATATACCATCACTGTCTGATTTTATCCTACATGCCAAAAAGCTCCACTGCAGCACTCAATCCACAAACACTCTATTCAGTTCCATTACCATCCCATGGAGTTGCTTCCGACTTCATGCCCTTCATCTCCCTTCCTGCATCTTTCTTGTGCCCCTATTTTCCTACAGCACTGCCCCTTATCTCCACAAATAGCAGCACTCTTGGTTTGCCATTGGAAGCAGACTTCCTGCAGCTCCCTGTCTCATCAGCTTCTCATTTCAAGTAATTTAAAATGTAATTTAAAATCTCTCTATTTCCTCCAGACTATTAATTTCTCTCTCCTTACTCTTCTATAGATGTCATTCTGTGTTGCGCTATTCAGTAAGATGTGACTGTTGTAAAAATCTGCCACAGTGTTTTTATTCTCTATTCTTATTTTGTATTATCATTTTTAATGATTCTTTGTAGGAAAGATGAAATCTCAGCACAGCATCTAGCCACAGCACAAGCAGTCACACAGGACATTCTGGCATTTGCATTGCCTTTGTTCCATTCTTCTCCTGTGGCATTTAGAACTGTAGAGGGATTATTGCAAATGGTCGAAGAGTATATAAGTAGGGTAGAAGGAAGAGAATTATTTCTGGAAATTGTGAAGTGTGAGGCAGGAAGCTGTGTCTAGTCCTGATCCTGAGTTGTGCTGAGCCCTCATAGGTCTCACTCCTCTTAGCCAGAGATTAAAGAACTCACCACCTTGCAAACCAGACCTTCTTATACTGGCCGTTTCTTTGGGGAAAACATGCCTCTCTCCTGTTGCTGTGATCACTTGAAACCAAACTTGTCAAAGCTGTAGAAATATGTAATAAAGGCAATAGTTCTGCATTGGTTTGAGGGTTTCCATTCTGGCCCAGCTGCTGCGTCATCCTCTGCATCTGACTGGATTCACTGAATGTAAAGATATGTAATCCTGACATTTCAGCAATATTTTTCTTGTTATAGAAGCAATCTGTAATTTCTCAGAGTATTGAGGTTCCCCCGCAAGCCCAAATCCACAAACTCTGCAGTGGCTGCTTGCTCTCCCCGCTAGTCTCCCTAGGCTCAGATACCAACAGAAGCAAGTTCCTCAGCCCAGAGAAAACCCCGATCTGTGCAGTCCAGCATACCCTGACCCAAAGCAGCGCTACCACTTGTGACAGTAAAATGAAGATGAAAACCACATGAGCTACACCGGTGAGCCCCACGTGAAAACACATAGCATCACCCCTTCTCTCCCTCTCATCTTTGAATGACCCTGGTATGTAAGGATGCTTTCAGAGGGCCTAAGCCCTGTTCATTTCCGCTTCCTCCAGCCAGGTTGCTTGTGTGGCATTACTGGAAGAGCTGTGATACACTTTCTTGAGAGTACAGGGTAACTGAGGAGCCCAATTTCCTTGGAGCTATGAGCTCTGCAGATTTCCAGGGTGCCTTTCCGGGCCACACATGTGATGTTGGTGCCCGATGGATTTGACCAGAATAGCCAGCTGAAGTTTTGTCCTCTTCAGAGTCTTTCAGACTCCTGGCTCAGTTTTTCTACCCAACTTTGAAGAAGTTGAATACTGGGGTGAAGTTGGAGGGGAATGACCACCAGCACAAAAAGAAAACAGCTCAGAGTCCCAATAATTACTTATTCCTCCCTTGTGCCTTCTCTCCTTGAGGTACCTTCCTTCTTTCAGTGGAAGTGTCTCAGAAGCAGAGTGGAGGTCCTAAGGTGATCTCCTCTAGTTTCACTAGCTAAGAGCCTCACCAAACCACCTCCTCACCACAGGCCATCCCTGTAGAGCCATAATCTCCCACCAGCTTAGGGGTGTTTTCTGCATCTCACTGCCTCTCAAATTCCTTTGAACCAAGAACAACAGTTTGGAGATCCTGTCCCCAGCTACCATCCTCCACACTCTTGCAGCAGGCTATACTCGGAGTGCTAAAGCTGCATTGGGCCCACCCCCACTTGCACATTCTCAGCTGTTTGGCAGCTCCAGGAGTGCAGAAAGACACCCCCAGCTCCTGTGGCAGAGGGCAAGGCCAGGATTCCCCCAGGTGAGGCTAAGGACTGTTTTTGTCCCCCTAAAATGTGTAAGTGGTCTCAACCTACACTGTCTCCTCTCTCCCCTCCCTCCATCACCTCTCCCGCCTCCCCCAGGGCCTATTCCAGCCTGCTGGTGGTGATCTGCGTTTGGCTGATTCCAGACACCACAAGTGCTTGCTGGTAAACACCTCCACCTCCGTCTCAGCTGCGAGGACAGCCTGACCCGTGTCCTACAAACGGCACAAATGCTCAGTGGTCCGTAGGGCAGGCGATGGCCCCCCTGCTGCTCGCCACAGAGCTCTTTGTGTCCAACAGTCCTGGGGCAGATTGTCCTGGAAGGGCAGTCCCAGTCTGCGCCCAGAGAAGAAGAAGGGAGGAGAGATAAATGGAGTTATGAAATTCCAACGTGGCTGAAGCCCTCCAACTGGTTCAACTTCCCAGCACCCCCCTCCCTCAGCCCCGCTCCCCCGCACAGAACAACAGTGAGCCTAAAGCAGCTCTTCTGGTCTCTTTTCCACTGAACAATGAATCCGATCAGAGAGAAACAAAATCGGTAGCATCAAGAATTACATTATTTCTTTTCTTTATGATTGTTGCACTAATGAGCAGCTACATGTATAGAACCAGGAGGTGACTAATGTAATTAACCTGGTGTAATGATACTGCTGAGGAAGACAGAGAGAGGATTATGACATACTTAGATGTCAGTATTGCACAATTTTGTATATGTTCCCTGTACTATCAGGTTGTGTCTGACACAGGAAAGTTAAGCAGTGATAGATCTCAGTCTGCATCCATTCAACTCATGCATCTTTCTGTGTAAAATGAGGATGTGAAAGGTGAATTGCTTTCCGGGGGCTGGGGCTGGGGGGTGGGGGGGGGGGGGAGGGCTTCAGTTTTGGTGGTTTCTTTCCTTAACAAAATAATAGTAATAATAATAAATTGCTCTTTCTCCTGAAGAATCTTCCCAAAATGTCTGCTTCTTGGAGCAGGCACTGGGATTTCACAGAGAGCTATAAAGTCAGAGCACAGGGATTCACACAACACTGGTCAGGGGGAGGCAGAAGGACGGAGAACGAGCAACATGGAAACATAAGCAACTTGCAGCGAACCTGAGAATAGTGAGGAGCAAGCACTTAAAAATCATAACAAGAGCAATAATAGCAGTAACAAGTGCTTATTTTTAAATTACCCTCCCCCGTTACATTTCACCCATCTCCTGGGGAGGGAAACGGCTGACTGAAGTTCGGTGCGGGTCTAGCTGCGGCGCGCGGGCTGCGCTTGCAGCGCTGGGCGCGTACGGCGGGGATGCGAAGGAGGCCGAGCTGGAAAGGGGGGGGCGGGAAGGTGGCGGGGAGAAAGGCCGAAAGCGAGAAAGGGGGGAGAACCCCGAGCTGCGCTTTCCTCCGGGCTCGGCGGCAGCCCTGGGGGGGGAGCAAGCCACGGCAGCGGCGGGGCTGGGGGGGGGGGGGGGGGGGGGAGGCTCTGTGTCTCCGTGCGTGTGTGTGTGTGTGTGTGTGTGTGTGTGTCCCCGCGCTCCCCGCGCCTGACCGCGCAGCGCAGCGCGGAGGAGGGCGGCTGCCGGCGGCGGCTGCCGGTCCCGGGGAGCTGTCCTTCAGCACCGCGGAGCGCTCCGCCCGCGCCGGTCCCGGGGAGCTGTCCTTCAGCACCGCGGGCCGCGGAGCGCTCCGCCCGCGCCGGTCCCGGGGAGCTGTCCTTCAGCACCGCCGCCGCCGCCGCCTTCATGCGGTAGCGGGGCCCGGGAGGCGCCGGCGGCCGCCGCGGGGCAGGGGGGTGCCGCAGCCGGGATCCGCTCCTCGCCCCCCCCACCACCCCCCCCCCCCAACCCACCCACCCACCCCTCCCACCCCTTCCCGCCCCATCCCGCCTCCCCCAACCCTCACCCCACCACCACCACCACCGCCACCCTCCACCTCCCCCGCGCCCGGGAGGGGCGCCGCGCCTGTCGCCCTCCTCCCCCTCCACCCCTTCCCGCCCCCCCCCCCCACCCCCTTTTCCCAACCCAGGACCCCCCCACCCCTCACCCCCCCCTCACCCCCCTCCGCTTCTCTCCTCGCCCACCTCCGCCGGGAGCGAGCACCGCGGCTGTGCGGAAAAGCCATGGGAGGCAAGACCTCGGCACCTGTTCAGCTGAAATCAAGGGCTTACAGTATACTGGGCAGTCTGGCTTGGTGGTAGGAGCGAGCGAAAGGAAGGAGAAGCAAGCGAGAAAAAGTGAGAGAGGATTGGAGCGACAGCCGCTGCCGGGAAAAAAAAAAAAAAAATAAAAACCCAAGGAAGATAACTGGGAAGGAAAAGGATTTTCATGGCGCAGGCTGCAGAGCTAAGCAAGAAGACTGAAGGTTGCATCTCTGCTCTTACAGTCTCTAACTGTCTAGGTCCAGATAATGAGAGATTGTGTTGAGGATGCTGCTGCTGCTCCCCTGTTCACTGTGGAAGCCATCTCCAAATTAGCCATTACATATGGAAACTGGAGACCAGAATTTTAGAAAAAGGGATTAAGGCGTCTCGTTTTGGGGGGGGTTCTCTCTTTATTTGTTTGGTTTTTCTTGGTTCTTTTCTCTCTTTTTTTTTTTCTTTTTCCTTTTTCCTTTTTTTATATTTCAACCAGAACGTTTCCGATTTAAAAGGCAAGCCTCTTCCCGTGTGGTCTTTCTAATTTACACTCTTTTCCGTGGGCTTTCTTACCTCCCTTTTTTGATATCTATCTCTCTATATATACCCATTATATTATTAGTCGGAATTATTATTCTTTTATTTTATTAAACACACACACCCCAAGAATCAGAAGGCGGTTGGGTATTTGTATAATGAAGAATTATGGGGCTCTTTGACAGAGGTGTTCAGATGCTTTTAACCACCGTTGGTGCTTTCGCTGCCTTCAGCCTGATGACCATAGCTGTGGGGACCGACTACTGGCTTTACTCCAGAGGGGTTTGCAAGACTAAAACTGTCAGTGAGAACGAAACCAGCAAAAAGAACGAGGAAGTCATGACCCATTCTGGATTATGGAGAACCTGCTGCCTAGAAGGTATTTGATTCTGGACCTCCACCTCCCCCCCTTCCCTCTCCCACCAACCCATGTTTCTCCCCCCCCTCCAAATAAATCCCTCCACATTCCACCATTTTCTCACTTCATTCCTTTCACCACGGATCGAGAGCAGTGGGCTCAGTTACTCAGGGCACAGAGGCAAGAAGGCAGGCAAAACATTCTCTGCTCCGTTCCCTTCTCCCTTCCTCTTCGCCACACTTCCCCCCCCTCCCCCCGCCCCCCTTCCCCAAAAATTCACTTCCCCCCTCCAACTGGAATAATGTGTGTGTTGCAAAAACACCAAGAGACCCTTTCAAAAAACAACTGTGTGGTCTGCCTGTCTTCAGCTTGTTTGTATTGCCTGGGAAAGCAATGCCAAAATGCTGTATTATTGCTGTGCTCCGGCTGTAACCACAGAGTGAAATAATTGCTCTCTTTACAAAAAGCTTATTTGCAAAGACAAGACTGGGAGTGAGGGGCGATGTGAGAAGGGGGTGACTGCAAAGCACTTGGGATACAATTATGAGTTCACTTCAGGAGGGAAAAAGAGAGAAAGGGAAGCAACCCTGTTGTGTCCAAAATGTCTTGTACAGTAAATCTAACACTTCCAATCATCTCGAGCAGAGTTCAGAGCATTTCGTAATGTCTATAAGCAACGACATCTCACTGGGCTGGGTGCAGAGGGGTCTAGTTGGCGACTGACTGGTTTGGTTTGGGGCTCAGATTTTTCCCCTGTTTGTTTGGTTTTGGGGGGTAGGTTTTTGTTTGGGGCTTTATTTTTTTTTTTTTTTTTTTTTTCCTTTTTTGAGGTTTATGGTAAAGGCTAAAAATAAACAAGTCTCTGAATAGAAAAATCAGCCTAAGTCTGATGTGGTGAAACTGAACAGCAACTCAGTGACATGTCTGATGGCAGAAGAGACACCGCCGCAGCCAACTTCTGGAATCAGACGTTCCTAAGGGAGGGGGAAAGAAAAGAGGGGCCAGTGATTCGCTTTTAAATATGTGTTGCTCAGTACTGCTATTGGCGTACGTGTGGGCTGGGGAGGTGGTCTTCAGCCCGTGCTGGAGGGATAGGGGCAACCGATGTAAATGCATGGCTTATGTTACACACATAGCGAGAAGGAGAGAGCGAGAGCACAAGAGTGCACATTACAGCCCATTGTAAAAGCCCTGTTTATGAATCAGCTCCCAGCCCGAGGGTGGGCTGCCGGGGGTTTATGGACATCCAGGGATAACGCCTGTGTCTGTCGGTGTCCGCCAGAGCTGGGTGTGCCTGGAGCTCCCCGAAGGGGGAGAACGGGGAGTGGGTACCGCAGAACTGGTTTTCTAAGACAAGCACTGGGAGATGGAAGGCAGGGGGGAGGGGGGAATAAACTATGTACGTCCTGATGTCTCTCACCACAGCGAGCTAAAGCTGTGTTTGGAAATGGTTGTGTCCGGGAAGAAGCGCGAATTTCCCCCCTGTTCTTGGTGCAAACGGTTGAGTGATGGCTGGACATGTTTTGAATAGCTAAGTGACTTCATTGAGCGATGGTCTATTTGACGCATACTGCATTTAGTGCCCTTTGTCAACCCAAACTGCTGCCTTTTAACATATCCTGCAGAGGAGCTCTATGCTGAATACTATATGCTGTCTCCATGCCAGAAAATCAATAGCAGTAAATTAATGGGGGATATTTTAAACACAGTCGCTCACACACACGCACGCATTTCCTCCAAATAGATAAATATATAGAGGTATATATTAATAAAAAATGAAAAGCCTTTCAAACACCTATTCATTACAACTGGGGAAGGAGACATGTCCTTAATTAAAAATTAATGAGAGAGGGAAGGGAAGGAAAAAAAAAAAAAAAAAAGGAAGCCCAAATGCAAAGCCATGCGGGGAAGGGAGGCTGCGGGGAAGAACTCCCTTCCTGAGCCATGTCACCAAGCTGGAGGGTGGAGGGAGGCTGGGGTGGAGACAGGAGGTATGAGGACCCCGGCCGGGAGAGGCAGTGAATTCAGATCATGTCTATCTGCCCACAGAGCTGTACCCAGAGGGACGCGGTCTGAGGGGGAGGAGGAAGGGGCGGGTGAGGTTTGTCAGATCGGAGGAGCTCGGGGCTCCTTCTCCTTTACGTCTGACAGGACCCCACAGGCACTGTGGAGAAGTGGCTTGCATGGCAAAGAAAAGTGCCAGGTTGTTTCCAATTAAAACCTCTGAAGTTCCCCCGGCCCCCCCCAGCCCAGTCCCCCTGCCCTCCCCGTTGATGCTCTCCAGCAGTCTCAAACCGCAGCCCTGCATGAGGGGTGTGAAATGCAGCCTGAGCGCAAGCTGCACGGCCCTGGCAGGGTGCTCTCGCTCGCCCCAGCTGTGTGAGGGTTGGGCTGGTCCATTCCCCCGGCCCCCAGATGCTGGGCAGAAGTGACAATCCGGGTAGGAGGGTGCAATGCACCACCCAGGGCTTGAGCTCAGCTCCGAGTCCCTAACCCGAGGGCACAGGTTGCACCAAAACTTGGAGAAAGGCTCCGTAGCAAGGGCATCTCGGCAGGAGGCAAAACCAGCCCTACAGCCACATGCCAAACGGGCCCTGGGCACAGGTTTGCCTCACGGGGTAGCACAGTTCAGGTCCGGCACCGGCTGCTGCCGAAATGCCTCTGCTCGGCTTCCTGCAGCCCCACAGCCTGCACGGGCTGGGGGCTGGCACCCTCCTGCTCCCAGGACAGCCCAGCCAAATATCCCCACCAGCCCCTAGACGGCAGGCCTCTTATTGACACGTCTCATCACCTTAGAGGGGGTTATCTTTATTTCTCGGCAGCAGAAATCAGAAAGGCGTCCCTGGTTGACTTGCTCTCCCTGGTGAAAGCTGCCTGCTGGTGAGTGGGAGGGAGAAGGGTGAAGCGAAGGCTCCTTTCCCCAATGATGCAGAGGGTGGGCAGATTTGTGGAGGGAAGGGCTCGGTCCCAGGAGGCTGTAAAAGGGGCCAAACCCTTGGTCTCTGCTCACACCCTGTCCACAGTGTGGCAAAGGCACCTGACAAAGGGTGTGGGATAGCCACGTTCCTGCTGCCTGGGGTGGGTGTCAGGGCAGATCTATAGGGTGAGGGGAGGTAGTGAAGAGGAAGTCAGGAGGCTTTGTAACAGGAAAATCATCAAAGAAGGAGCCCAAACTGCCTCCTACTACTGGTAGGAAGCCTCTGATGAGGTTGCCTTCATTTCTGGGGAAGTGGGGGACTCTGGCATTAGTCAACACCATAGGCTGTCAGAAATGGTGGACTCCTGGTGTTCAAAATATTGTGCTAAATTGTCTTTTCTCTTCTTGGCCAAGATATCCAGTAGGAAAAACGGACAGGGGTACTCAGTCTCAGGCTCTACACACAGATACACTGCTGTCAGAATTGCAAGTTCCTCTTAGAGAATTTGGTCCCCAGGCTTTTAAATTTCGTATTCCCTTCTCTTCAGTCCTTCTGTTCCCCACAGTGGACTTTCGGTCAGCATTTTCAGATCTTTGTATTGCTCCAAAGAGGAGTGTCATTTGGGATGTTCCTCCTCTATTGAGATATCTTTCCTCCCTTTCTTGTGTCCTACAGTGAGCCCCTGCTCCATGGTGGGGCTAAAGCAGAAAGGTGATGTCGGTTCACATTAGTGCAGATCACACTTTTGACTTTTTTCCTAATCTTCCTTGAGATAATTCTTTCTCGGACTTTGGGGTTGCCCAGATATGTCCCTGGGCCATTCAAAAATCTTTGCCCTGCAAGAAAAACGGCCTTTCTCAGCCCTTTAACTGCGTAGGCACAAAACACACACGCACACCAAGCAATTGAGATCTGCAAGCTCATACCACACATGGATACTGCGCCTCTTACAACTTTGAAATGGCTGCAGATCTTTCAGTTTAATTCCTTCTTGGCACCGAATGCTTTAAAACCACTTTTTATTATGAGTGATGCCTTGTCTAATTCTTTCATTAGCTCCTGTAGATCTCCTAAAGGATCTCAAAAAGTGAGCGACGATGTCTTATCGGGGTCTTATGAAGCAAGCAAATGAAATGTATTTTATATCCGTAGGTTATTGGTTTTGTCATGTTGTCATTATTATTAGGAAAGGGATAGGTCTGGGAGGCTTTTATACTGAGGAGGAGGGAGAGAAGAGTCCAGGGCAGGCAGGCATGAGTGATGCGCATGGGGTTAGACATCCCTGTAGATCTGACTGGTGTGAAGGCAAGTAATTGAATGGATGTTGGTGCAGAAAATAATTCCTGCCTAGAGACCCTTCCCAAGGAAAATTAATGAGCTGATCTGTTCCCTTTCCAGCCTGTTATATCTGAACAGCGCATGAGAGTTAAGTGCAGTTTCAGTGTTGGCAAAAATGAAGAGCTGACAGCAAAGTGAGGCAGGGCACAGGCAGTGGACAAGTTCCTGCCAGACAATTCTGGCGCTGCATTGCCTCCTCGTGCTGCCTTCTCCCACCGCTGTTTGCTCCTGGGTCACCTCTTTCCTTTCACACCCGTCTGATGAACGTTTTTTTTTTTTTTTTTTCGTTATCTTCCCTCTTACCTTTCCTGACTTCCTTTCTTTCACCCTTCATTTCTGTCAACATCCCTGTTTTTGCACTGCGGAATTGCCTGCCATCCTACTTCCAAGGATCCACAAATCTATCGGGATCCTTTCCCCTGACTCTTGCTGTCCTAATCCAGGGGCTTTTCTGGACACGCAGTGAAAATAGCAGTAGATTAAGTCAGGGTCTCCATGTCTTTGCAGTTCAGGACAAGGAGGAGCCTAGCACAGACCTGAGATGCAGCAGGAGGCAATGGCCCGGCACATAGCTGATTGCTGCTGGCATTGTATCTGCTGGGGAGAAGGAGGATGCAGAGCTGGACAGGCCTTGGATGAAGAGGAAAACAAAGGATTCAAAAAAGTGGGGTGGCAGATAGTGAGGGAGAATTACTCAGGATCCCAGATTTGGGTGGGTTTGGTTCTCCTCACATCTTAAATTCACACCTGACTCTAAGTCACCAA